GATGACTAATTTCACAACTCAAACGGCTCCGAGTAATTTTTTGACCCACCAGAAGCATCGTGAACGACAACTACCGCGAGCTCCAAAAGAGTTTTCATGACATAATAGATCGGGCTAGGGACGGTGAGGCCCAAAGCAGTGGCGAGGCTTTTGTCGAACTCCTGCAAGGTGGGCTGGCCGCTTGTTTTGCCGAAGCACCAATAATGGATTGCAATCCGTCACTCCCAAACACCCAACTAGAACTCCAAGCCCCTGGCTTTCAAAATCTGGAACCGAGCCAAAATCGACCCATGGACCCTTTAGTCGCTAATCATCTCGTGCATGAGGGGCGACCTGAACAGCCAAACCTTGGGCCCAAATCCCAAGCCCAGCGCTCTCCTGGAAACTTACTGCGACGATAGGTCCCTTTGCAGTGGTCCAGCAAGTCTTTTGTTGTGAAGAACACAGCAAAGCTGTAAAATGCTAAGCTATCGGTATGCTTTGCAGCCGTGAGCGCAACCTGCCCGGCTAGCCTCCCTCGCGTGTCTTCAATCTCGCTACTTCAGCAAAAACTATTGCCACCAATACAACCGCTGGTACCGCCGCTCCCAAGGCCTCGGGCTCTGGGCCATGAGGTTTGGCCGCCATTGCCCGATTGAGCGCTTCTCCGGCGGCCTGGTAGGTGCCATATGAGAAGCTCGAATTACTGTCAAAACTGGATGTCTGATCTGAAAGTATCACGTGGTGAGAGCGCAGCACTACCTTTTAAACGGCCACCAAGAAACCTGTGACGTCCTGGACTGTAAGGTATCATACATAGGTATCTAGCTTATGTTTAGCCATAACCTGGGTCCGAACTGAATATTTCGTACTGAAAGTGTTGGACTGTGAGGTTGTGAAAAACGGGTGCTTCCAAGAGCGCAATGGCCCGGTCCAAGGCAGCCTCCCAGGTCCCAAGGCACACCATTTTCTCCCTAGCCAACCATCCATGCTTGGACCGCGAAAGAGCGACGCAACCCAATGCCCGCTAATCGGTAGCTGGGAAATGCCTCGCACCACGCCGCAGCGTGTCATGATTTCTCTTTTGTGCAGCAGCTTCCGCAGAAGCATGGCTCGTACCAAGTCGTAGCAACGTATGACGCCGTGCCAGCAACGGTCCGCAATCCGGTATCATCTCAAGTGCAAGGCGCCACGAAAGCTGAAGACATTTCGGCCTAAAACAATACAATTATACATCGAAACCCGCACCACTTGCAAGACCCCAACCGCCGGATGTCAAATGGGGGTTTGTTTTTGATACTGTGCAACATCGATGGTTGGTTAGCTATGATAAAAACTCACTGAGTTTCAGCCCATTTCACCACCCCTCAGGCCGCAAAACCCTGAGCCCCGCAAATGCAACGCAACGCCTTCAACGCAAAGTTCGTTGATCCGCTGGAGGATGTTTGCGCGTCGCTGAGGACAAAGTCCTCCACTTCCTTAGCTGCTTAGCATGAAGTGGATCTGAGATGTCAGCATTGATGCCCATCGGGTTTTAGCGAGCTTCAGGCTCTTGCAGGACGTCTTGCTTCTTAGCTGTCTCAGGCCGCAGAACTTGGCATGGCGTTTTTGGCATCTTGGATGCAAATAACCAGACCTATCATGGATCGGCACACTCTCTACAGTGATTCAGTTGCCCATTGTGTTGAACCTTTCATTCAAGTGGCGAAGCCGCACTGCCTCATTGCGTCTGTGACGTCGTCGCTTGCACGGCTGCGACCGCCTGTCAGCATGTCCACCTGGCAATGCTGCGAAGCTCACGGACGGACGTGTAAAAAACAAACGCGTTTTTTGGAGCCTGGCATGGACGGATCTTGCGTAGCCCAGTACCGAATGCTGCAACACAGCTCCAATATACTCCGACTCTGATGGCTTCTTGGCCTTCTGAACGATCCAGAACCGAACGACCCAGTATCTCTTGAAACCATCAGGCTTGCAAACCTCTGCACGGTCCAGGGCTTCGGTCAGCGCCTGCAACGCCTCAGCTTTGACGCCGTAGCTTGAGATTAAGTAGGCTTCTGAGCAACGACTTGGAAATCCAAGAGACAAAGTTCTTCGGCGGATCATCATCACCTCGCACTATATCGCACTATAGCGTTCTTTCAGCGCATCTCCAAAAGTGTGGAGTTCACACTACGAAGCTCTGCTTGGACGGCTTCCAGTTTGTTGCGCAAGGCACCTATGGCAGGTCGTCCATCGTAGCTCTCACAGCTTTGCCTCAGGTGCTGAGCTGCCCTAGCCCCATCTTGCGACTCAGCTCTTCCTCTGCAACAGCAACATGCTAGTCACTAGTTGGCGCGAGTTGCAATTGATGTTGCGCTGGATGAGGCTGATATGGAAACTGTGTAGGCTGCTGAGGTTGAAATTGCTGAAGGCTTTGCATCCGCATCTGCTGGATCATCTGCAGCCTTACTTGCGGCTAGGTCAAAACTCATAAGCGTCAAGCAGTGATGACCAAGGTCTGGATGAACTCAAATGGACCAGAGGATGAAAAGCATCCCGTGAAGGATCCTACTATACAGCATTTTACAGCATGGGCTGATGATTCTTGGTAGAAACTGGTCTCTGCTGTTGTCGGTGGCAGGAGCAAGCGGCTGTAGTCTCTGCTCGCTATCGAACTGCTGTACCTCCGTGGGCCAGGGTCCAGCCACTGGCCATGGGTCCTTGGGCAAATTGGAAGCTCTTGGGATCTGCGAGGCTGTGGATATGGGGTATGCTTTCACAATCAGTAATGCGGTCACTTGAGCGCTTCTACACTTGTTTGGTGGCAAAGGATGGCATCCAAGGCTTTGATGCGATGCTGGCATGGTCATGTAACTTTTGCGCCATCAAGCTGATTTGGCGTGTCGCCTGCTCTTGCAGCAGGAGGAAAAAGGGCCTTAATCCTACCGGCTTCCAGTCGGAATCATCAAGCACTGGCGCCTATCGGGGACAAGTATCAAACAAAACCAGCAGGACTGGAAACTGTCGCAGTTGTCACAAAAAAAAAAAACGTTTCAAGGTGGAGCTGCGTGGCTCGATGCGAAGGTGTCATCTCGGGCATCGAGATGGGCTCCTGTCGGCAGGCTCCGGAAGCTGGCTTGCCATCTTCTTTGCCATGGTTTAAACCACAGAATGAAATTCAAGGATTCCCGAAATCAGGCCCGAAGCTCGAGTTCCTCATTGCGTTCTACGTCTGCAAAAGGCCACTGCGGCGTCTCCGGGCGTGCATCCTGTCAAAAGAGATCTGCGCTGCAACATTTGGTGCGAAACAAGGAAGCTTCCAACACCAACCAGGTCTTGACAACGTGACCTGTCAAACGCAGACTAGCTGAGCAACGCGAACATCCTTCTTGTGCTGTGCAATTTCTTGTGATGCATGAATATCAGCGGGGGGAGGCCTCCAACTCCTCATGGATGGCAGCAACACCTTCAGGGTCCTGTGCGCGAGAGCATGCTGAACTGCTGAAACTGCCCATATGCAATGGCTTGAATCACAGGGCTCCAACGCAGCTGCCTTTGCTGGATGGAATACACTCAAACATGGAACTAGCATTTATTGCTTCTCGTGCGGAGTGTCCACACCCTCTACGAATACAAAGGATTTTGATTCTGACCTGGGAGCATGTTATGTGATGTTGCACGGTTCGCCAAAGACCTCATCGGAGAGGCCTTCAACCTTAAACGCATTCAAGCCCTGGGGTCCTGACTTCTCGATCCGACGTTTACAAAGCCGTCTCAAATTCGGACCAGTCAAAAGCCTCCAGCTCCCCAAACCTTTGAAACCTTGGACAATGTGCCGATCCTCTTCTGGCGCGGCTTCTGCACCAGTTGCTGTCTGTGCTACGCCCTCCTGTGCGCACAAAATATGTCTGGGGTTTACCTGCACAGTTGCTGCGGCTTGCGACTGTCTAGCGAAGCTAATCTTCCAGTTTCACCGTCACTGATCTCAAGTGGCCTCAACGTTGCCAAACCACCTACACGCAACAATGTTGCAGCAAGGTTGCACATGCTGATCATCTTTCCATTGTGCTGTTAAAAGTCTCTGGCGCATCAAACATGTGCAACATGCTGTGCTCCTACCCAAGCTGATTGAACAACTACAACTGATTCTAACAAAATCAACTGCCCACAAGCCGATGACACTATTCATGCAACCTTGAATTCGACAATCGCTTCGCCCTCGTTGATCTTCACCACGCTGAAGCTGTGAAAAACAAAGGCTCCAACTTGGGATGCGAAGTTTGAGATTACAGGATCCTGGGCCAACCCTTGACAACTTTTCAGCCGATCTGTGATCCTTTTGCGGTTCCTCCGCCTTTCGTGGCTCAGAACGAAGGGCTGCTGCATGGCTGGGCGGCAGGTAATAGATGGCTGTCCTCCTGAAAGCAGGGAAATGAGCATAAATTCAAACACACGTACGTTTACAGGGCAATTGGCTGGCGGGTCACCGCTCGTGAATCTCTCTACTTCACACGCTACCGCAACAGCAGTCATAACATTCTTTGCTAGCTGGTCAAACTCCAGGTGGCTTCATGCAAAAGACATCCACAGTCCCAGGAATCGTTTTGCATGATCCCGCCTTGCCTTCCTGACGTGCCTCCAAGATGTTATCCAGATTTGCAAACCTGCTACAGAAGAAAAGGCTCCCGGAGGGTGCGCGAAGGCAAACCGGCACCAAACCAGGAGCTGGCGAGGTTGGCGGCAGTGCCATGGCTCCGGAAGAGCGTTGTATTGCGATTGCAAATACCGCACCGATCTTGCTTTCAACAATGCAACAAAGCAGTATGCAGTTCAAGGCTGTACGTTCGACTGCCGCAGGACACAATCACGGGGCAAACGCTTGCGGTACAGTACCGGAAGATAAAGGGCAAGCTGCTCCCCCGCTGTTAGTTATCAGATTTGAACTCTGTGCATGCTCGGCAGTGGTCTGTGGCCTCCCGTACAGAAATATGAAAAAAGAAGATCGTCACTGCCACAAATTTCGCAGCTGAGACTCACGCTCCAACCCATGTGACTGCACCAGCGGCATCTCAAACCTAGGTGAATGCGGAGTCCACCCGAGGTGAACTGCCCGCCCAACCGATCAAATGTGCAACCCAGAAACCAATCTTCCATCATCCGTCTTGCCTCGCGAGCCAAGTGTGCATCAACTTTGTCACCGCACAACCCCCCTCCCTGCCGGTTTGCCACCAACTCTTGCTGGCTGTTGTCTGTCTTGGCAGCATGTGTTTTCTCAATGCATCTGTGCTCCAACCTCTCTGCAAAAACACCGTGTGTGCCACATTGGATGCTCAGGATTGCAAGCCTACTTGAAAAATCAGACCATGTAAGCTGAGGACAAGCGGTGTATTGCGCACCACCATGAAGTGATCAGAGATGTTCACGTTGACACGTCTGCAAACGCTCAGCTTGACGGCAGCACAACAAGGACGGAAGTTGCATACCCTTGGCTGAGTTGGATGCCGAACAAACTCTCCTTCTCGTGCAACCTCCCCTCAGCGTTCAACCATGCAGCGTGCTTTCTGCACTGCTCTACCTCTTCAGGGCTCCTGCTTGGCGGATGCTACAATAACTTGGCGACTGCAAAACTGTAAGCCCTCCACGGGACAGCGCCGAAGCAAAGAAGAAAAGCCTTTCAGACGCTGCGCCACCTTTCGTGCTTCAAGTGAAAGTGACTAACAATTCTCAACGGCGTAAAGCTGCGGCAGGACGAACCAAAGGTGCGGAATTCAGGCTGACAGTTTCTTGATGCTTCTTGTAACTCTTCATGTCTCAGGCAATAATTCTGTTAGCTGATGTTAGCTCGCGGGGCTTGTAAATAGTCAGGCACAAACTTTGGGGCTGCGATTGATTTTGGCGAGATGACCAGCGTCATGTGAAACGGGGAGGCAGTTCGCACGGCCCTTGTGATCCCAAGATGCGGCTTCAGGCAAGGGTCAGAATTTTTCAAACTCTGTCTGACAGCTTTCCATTCTGACTGGCCGAATTAACCACCTCATATGCCTTTACCACAACAACCTCACCGCATCTCGGCAGCACGTAGAGGGCATAATCCGGCTCACACGACCAAGAATCTGTGCCTGAAATGCAGCAAACACACAGCACTACGGAGCCTGTCTCTCGATTCCAAACCGAAAGCCCCTGGTTGATAAAGGCCCCTGACGACGTGCATAAAATGCCACACCGCGAAAATTCCAAAGACTTTGGCCAGCTTGCCTCAAGCCTCAGCTTTCGAGCGGCGTAGCTCTGTGGCCTGATTCCAAGAGAAACGCGCTGGATGTGAAACATCGTCATGCTTGGCTGCTTCCTGACACATAATCACATCTATTGTGTCTGTCAAAATCAGATGTGTGCAGCTGCAAGGACCTGTGGCTGACCCCGGTAGTTTGCGTAGACACTGAAGGTCACCAAATCCTTACATCATGAGCATCAGCTGGAGCTTGGGTTGATTGGCACGGGTTCATTTGCAAGAAGGTTCAGGCCGCTACTGACAATCTTCGGAAGGGCTTGCGTGCCTGTGCTGTTTGAGACGTCCCCTCTTTCTGCACCGTGTTTGCCCGGCCTTGCTTGCACATGGCAAGTCATGCAGCCCTTGCTAGCATACACTTCTAAATAGCGACGAATGCTATCAACCAGCCCCAGCATGCGCTCTACCTTTTTCTACGGCAATGACTGAACATGGAGCGAGCGCCGGCGGTGCTGGTCGACTCCTAATGCCTGATTTCAAGCCTGATGACGAAGCAGCTGCCGAGAACCACACGTGGGTCACTGCACATGATCTTCCACACTTATGTAGAGTTTGAAGATGCAATATCTATTTCAGCTGCGTAATCTGGCCCAGGTTCCTGAAGGTTGCCCCACTTACAACGCAAACCCCAGCGTCGTGCTGCTCCCCAAGAATCACACCAAATGAACTGGACTACAGCATTTCAAGACAGGTCGTGAATGGCGAGTCCAAGGTTCTCCTCGCCTGAAGTGGCGCTTTTGATTCTGATGTAAGAAGACATCCAGATCCTTGAATCTCTTCTTCAGCTCTTCATTCCTGGCAGTTTCAAAAATCCTCATGGACATGCGTCGATTTGAGGATTTGTCATATTTGCGTTGAAGAATCATGTACTGTCCATTTACCAGCGGGTCCCCGAATCCAAGTGTCTCTTCAATTGCACATGCATTTACTCGAGCCCGGTGTGTTCTTATGGAGGTTCCAACTGCTCAAGGGACACCTCTGCAACAGGTTTGGAGCACATGGTCCAGCTGCCTACGTTTTGCAAAAAGCGCTTTGGAAAGGCATCCCGTGCTGGACTTCTAGCAGCGATAAAGGGCGTGCTCGCACTGATTAATGCTCACACTCCTATGCTGAATTTCCAGTCCTGCTGAACTGCTACCAATTCCCCGTGCTGTATTGTCTGAACCCTTTTCAGCAATCGTCTGCCCCCAAGCCTACGTACCCCAAACTCTAAAAATGCATTTGAACATGACAGTTCTTCATCAAAACTTCGCATCCCTCAAGGTACGGGGCATAAATGCAAGCGGGGGAAGGGAACGCGAAATAAGGGTTTTCTTAGGACCAACTACAGCAGCGGAGGAGTTTACATAAAGGTCATGTAAGGGGTACAAAAGGCTACAGGGTAACTCCTCCTGTAATTGTCATAGATTTCCTGCCCAGGCACGTAATGAAGCCATAGCCTTTGTCATCAAACCTTGCAAGACTAAGAAGGCTTCTAAAATCTAAAGCATGCTGGCCTCTTGGCCTATTCCTTTTAATTGTTTGGAGTTGGTTCACGGAGTGTTGCGTGCAAAGTTTGAGTGATCTCCTTAATGCCCCTTCAGCTGGTGATGGCTCCGCTTGCAGCTGGGGAAATGCATTCGAATCTTGTACGTGCTGCTGGGCAACCACATCTTGATGCGGCCTTCCCACCGTCGGTCAGTAACCCCTGCCATGCATTGTTGAGCAGCGTTCAACTTTCCAGTTCCTACTGGCACGGGCAGCATGCTGGAAAGCACGTGCACGTCAGCTTATGAACTCGAGTATCTTGGACCAAAAGAACCTTCTTTCTGTCTGAGGACAGGATCTATTGACACACAACGCTCTGGATCGAAACTTCTGTGGTGAACTCTCCCCAAACCAAGCCAAACATGGCACCTCCCTCAAGGGGGGGTGATTTGGGGGGGGGGGTGGAGAAATAGATCAGACCTATTTCTGGTAGTGAGGGGAGGCCTGAAGCGGGGGACCCACCCCTTCAGTGGCTCTTTTTTTTTCCTTTACGAAACTAGCAAGAACCTCCCTTCCCCCCTATTTTTATAATAGGGCTGCCGGGGATCGCGATTGGTGCCTGTGGCATTGCTGGGAAGTTCTATTGTAGAATCCATAACCAACACAAGCAGAGGCACTGTTTTTTAACATCTTGGAGGGGGGCTCCTATTGCAAAACCAGCAAGATCTATGCCTTTGTTTCCTGATTCCTGGTCTCATTCTGCCCTATTTCTCTGGTCCCAGCAAATAGCTCACCAAATACGGCGCCCTGGGTAATCCCCCTATATCCCCCTATTTTCAGGCACCCCCATGCCAAACCCTAGAAGGTTCTCAGTGTTACGATGACTTTGTTGTAAGTGCGCGACACAAAGTGGAAAGCTTGCTCCAGCCTGGTATCTGCTCGCTGTCCGGAGGCCTATAGTTGGGGTGATTGATATTTGTGGACGGACCCGGCGGCACCTCAAAGAAGGCACGCTGCAAATTGGAATGAATTGAGCAGTTGCATTGCGGCCTTGAAGTAAAGCGCTTAGGTGAAGGGTGACGCGCACCTACGTACCCCTTCAAAAGCAGAAAGGAATACCGATGCCAAGCATCGTCGTCATCCTCATCAACCACCTTGCCCAGTGACATGGCAGGATCTGGGAGCGTCGATGGGTTCACACCAGAAAGAATTGAAGTCCCATCAGCAGGCGCCGCCGGGGCTATTATTTGCCCCATCATCGGGCCCATCATCGCTCCCATCATCATCATGTGATTGAACATGCCCATCTGCTGCTGTTGCATAAGCATGTATTGTTGCTGTTGCTGCATGATTCCCAGGATGTTGGGGCCATTTGCCATCGCGCCACATCCGCAGCCATTGCAAGGCATTTCCATTCCCAGGCTGGGCCTAGCTGTCGTCGCCACTGGACAAAAGGCGCCGTTGTCGTCACCGTTGGTCACGGCTGCTGGAGTTGCTGCTGTGGCCAGGCCGCTCTCGGCCTTGGCCTTGGCGCAACCCATTACAACACGGCCGTGTTGTGAAGAGCAAATTCCTATGGCCTTAGTCAAAGGCTAAGACAAGAATGCTGAAGAAATTTGGCAATGCACAAGTTTAGTGTCCTTGGGGAGTTCATCAGACATGTCAAAAACATACGCATCAAAGCACGGGAGGAATCTGAATAACCACATGTGCTGTAGAGCCTTCTGCAAAACATGATCTGGTGTTCTGCTTGTCTTTTGTGGCCTGAACTTGGGAATTGATTCTCAAGAAAGCCCATAGCACATCTGCCGTCGGCTCGTGTGCTTCATCTGTCCTCAAGCGCTTCCTGGGCTGCGATGCCTCCTGGTCCACCATGGCTTGGGGATCTAAAGTTTAGGAGATATGGCTAGCTAGGGTATACAAAGCTAGTGCCTGGTCTGAACAGCTTAGCTCCCAGGCCGATTTGCTGCTCTTACCGTACCGGAACAGGTTCTTGTTCCTTGTATTCGCTGATGCACACCAAAGTGCTTACCTCCAACGCCTCTAGCTCCAAAGCTCGAATTACATGATCCTGGCACCCACCCTTGCGTGTGGCATGAGACATGTGAGAGCATGGGGCACTGACGGTAAGAGCCATAAGCTGTTCTTGAGCACAATGGCAGGTGTAAGGGGCACAGAATGGCTCTCAGGTCTAGGTCCAATCTCGTGGCATTTTTGCAGTGATTTCCAAACCATCCGTGGGAACCACTTTGATACATACCTGTTCAAGCGACGGAATGGCAGAGATATTCATGGTTCTATGAGAATAGGAAGACGATAGACGCGCCTTGATTCATAAGGACAAGAGGCCAGCGTTTCCTGCCCCCAAACCTATCCAGAACAAGAAGCCAAATGTGCTGTTGGAAAGCTACCACCCCCTCTTTAGGCAAAGATTTGGTTCCCTGTCGCAAGGCCTAGACTCGACGCCGAGCAACAACCTCTACAGTATCAGGCCATTACGTGCTAGACAATGCTGGCCAAGCTTTACCGACTTTAGTATCGAGGCCTGCATGCCCGAGTCACCGGCATGTAAGGGCTTATCTCAATATTTTTCCGGGGCAACGAGGACAGAGGATGTCCTGCATCACCGCTTGCACGTCGCACGCAAGCGCATAGCTGCTAGCCGGGAAAACCATTCAAGAAAGTAACGAGCTTGAGGCCCTCGAAGATGTTGAAATTTGAAATGTCTTGACAACGGCAAATCTAAACATCGCCCCTTCATCTGCTCAACTTTTTGATGCTCCGGCCCATGCACTGCCAAGCACAGGGTTGGACCGACCTCCGGCTGGGAAGCTCATGGAGGTGGCATCAAGGGGCAATGCGGACCCAGTCTGCCAAAGCTATAACAACAGGAGACAACAGTGCGTTTCTCTTACCTTGCCCATTTCCGCCGTCCGTCTTAAGACTTTCAAGCTCGGCATCTTGCAACTGGGATTCGCCAGCATCAAGCGTAAATCGGGTGGCCAACCAGAGCAATTGTAGAGCCTGGCCAGAGAGGCAGTTGCGATCCGCTTCTTCTCAACACGTCTCACACCCCGGAGCCTGGGGCACCCCAGCCGCGCGCGAAAACGCCAGGATCATTGAAGCGTCGGTTGCGCCTTGGGAATCTCTTTGTCGTGCCAGACAACGGAAGGAGCATGAAGAAACACGGGGAACAGGACATGAATCCAGATCCATGCCATAACCTGCTGAGCCTTGCTTAGGTTGGACAAGTTGCTCAAGTCCTTCTATTGCCCGCATCTCCTCCGCAGACATGACTTTGGCAGGGTATGTATGTTCAGGTGGGCAAGCCGCGGAAACCCACACTCAAGCCGTAACACGCTGTACCGTAGCCACTCTAGCCGAAGGCCTGAAGCCAAGCCAGAAAACCTGGTAACCGGAGACCCACATCCCTCAAACCAACACCTGTGTGCAAGCTCAAGGCTCCTCTGCAGATAACTCAAACCCAAAAACGTCCAGATTCTCTTTCATTCTGTCGATGCTCCTTGCATGCTTCTTGTTGCCAGGCAGGATCTCGGGCATGCAGGTGAGGCAACGCGGAAAGGTCTAGTTTGTATGCCCGTCTTCCTAAGCTAAGGTGTCCAGTGATTCCTCGTTCTTCCTTCTTCCAGGACCGTGCTTGGCAAATGGTATCTCTTGACAGACTAATGTTCACTTCGTATTAATAAATCCGACGCCCTGATTGATCTATCTCCGTCCTGGGAGACCCCCGGAATAATAATGCCNNAATTGAAATCTAATTGAAATCCCTGCCCCGACAAAAATTACGCGTCTGGGGCATATTATAATTGTAGGGGTTATTATAACTGTGTTCCGGGCCCGGGATTTAGAAATGTAGGAGTAGTTCTTAATATGAAGTGAACATTATGCATGGCAAGTGACATGGACCCCCAGAAGCCTTCTGTCGTTTACTGCACAGCTTCCCTAAAACATGCCAGGAAGAAACAGAATTTGGACATCTGACCAAAAACCTCCTTCGCAGTTTTGGCCTTGGAGATCCTCAAGCCCATGCCAATGTTCTGCTTCAAAGCGGCTGGCTTTTTGGGACCACTGAGCACCCTCTCTGCACTTGAAAGCGCAGAACTACTTGTCCTGAGGGGCAACAGCTGATGACTTGCGGCATGCCCTGTTCTAACTGCAGCAGCTGTGCCCACATGTGCGCGCTATGCAATGCCTTGCAATGCTATGCCATGACTATGCACTTGCTTGTGCTCTGAGCTGTAGGCCGACGGTCTTGCCATGCGTATCTGCAATGGATTTCAGAGCTGGCTCCAGGAAGCAGTCTTCTTCAGCTGTCGCCAAACCGATCCCTACGTAGGACTTCCTGGCATGCGCACAACAGCAAAGGACAAGTGGATTTGTACAGCAACGCTGACCTGCTGGATTGTGCAGGGACAGCAAAACTGTGTTATGCATGGCTCGGTTTGTGTTCAAAGCCTGACCTTTGCCGTGCACAGAAGTGTGAAGCCTTGAGGATCCTGCAGGTGGGCTATCCATGATGACATAGAGACCGCCCATACTGAGATAGATGTAAGTATTTGTGGCTTATGTATGCCAGAAAAGCCATGCCGTGTAAAGGCTTTTTTTGATGTCTTGGAACGACCCGTGCAGTAATATTCTCAACTCATTTGCGAGAAGCACGCTAAGACCCAAAGCCACATTGCCCATTGCTAACGCGCATCCCCGGAAGCATTTCTAACCTCTTTAACAGGACCAAGCGGCGCCCCGAGTGGTGAAAACGCAGTCACCCCAATGTTGTGCGCCTGCCCAAGACTCGGACATGCAAGGTTGTAGTTTAAGAATTGAGGCCCGAAGGGTTTTGTGATCGTTGAAGCCAATCACATCAAGGCCGGCTTTCTGAAACGGCACCCTGCGAAAGGTGCACCGACAGCGATGTGATTGGACAAATGCGTTCCACACTTTGCCGTGACAAATTGCACTGAGACAACCCCTCCAGAAAAACATATTCGACTACAAGACACAGATATATAGGCAATATAGGGATTAATCGAATCTCAAAGTTCAAACTACTCCAGACAAGCTTCCTTGCAGAAGGCCACCAGCCCTGGCTGCTGCAGATAGACGTGGCTCTCAATCTGGTTGACGGCTGACAGGGTGCTGCAAGACTCAGGATCCAAAATTGGATCTAAATTTTCGAGGTCACATGCCCTTTGCTCAGGATGTCTTCATGCGTTCATAGGTCACAAGGATCGGTTGGCCTGGTCTGGTGACCGGTGAAAATTGTACATTGTTGCTGACATTTGCACGGCTAGTAAAGCGTCTCCCGTCAGTCCAGCTGGAGGGGCATCCAGCTGGATCGTCTCAGTGCCACAACGTCTGGGCGGTCAAGCGACTGTGTTCATCAGCATGGACGGAACCCGACGGATTCAATCGGCAAAGCACTTAATTTCGCATCCATGTCGCATTAAGAGCCTAACCCAGAAGATACTGTAATATTGTATTCATGAGAAAGCCACCAGCCTCAAACGAACCTCCTCACCTTACTTTGCAGATGCTTTACGTGCTTCCATGAGATGATGCCCGAGGCAAGCGAGTCTGCAAAGGCAAGTCCAAGCAAATCACAGTGCAGGGCTGATGAGATTCCTGGGACTTCTAAGTCCTCTCAATGCTTGTCACAAGCCAAGGGAAGAGTTGAGATGTCAGGCCTGGCTTTATCTTGCAGTAGGACAGCACGTCCATCAGGGACTGCGCGGTCAGGTTGCTAACTCCGATGTGCTTCGCTTTGCCACTTTCCTGATGTGCAGCTTCAGCTCTTCTCTCGTGTGAAACCTTGGATTTCGGCAGGCAAGAAGCTTGCAGCGTCTGCATCGCTTCCCAGGTTTCGCCTCGGACTGATCCGAACGCAAGCTAACAAAGGAAGGAAGCACTTCTGTTGGCCCATTCTACGTGCAAGCTGTCAAACAGCTTACACGCTTGGACGCTAAGCCAAGGTCGAGGGCAACGCAAACACATTTTTGTCGTGGGAGGAATTGCCACATGGGATCATTTCTCTGGCGGATCATCTTCACAGCAACCCCTAGCCGCTGCAGAAGGAGGACATAGCTACAAGTGATGCTGTTTAAGTAAACCACTTCCCAAAAGCGGCAGACTCAGTCAATGATTCAGCAACGCTCGACCGGCTTGGTACGGCTTAGGGATAGCTTCTAGTTGCAGCTTGAATGCGGTATGGCACAGGATCCAAGATCATGTGGCCCGCATTCCCTGGTTTGTCAGTCCACTCTGGCGGATAGCACTGATCGAATGGCACGAAAGCTAGCGAGATCGGGAAGTGGATGAGGTAGAGGTCCAGGTAGTCCTATGCAGATGTGTATGCTCATCTACATGCAGATAAAACTTCCCAGCTACAAGTAGGACGCAGCAGCACCCAAACCTCAAGAACATGCTGCCGCAGGTGGGCACACATCGCCTGCTTTCAAGCCAAGGCACTAGTCCAAGATCATCAAGAGTGCGCTGGCACGCCAAGGGAACATGCCTTGGCGATGTGGGCGCGCGAATAGGAAGCCAGGCAAAGTCTCTCCGTCTACAGCGCTGTCCCATTCCGGCGCTGGAACTGGAACCCGACTGCAAGACGACGGCAAAAATCTGCCATGGAGCTCTCTTCTGTGGTAGGTGTTCCACAGCTTCGACGTGACCCACAAGTCTCCGCGAGTGCACAAGCCTTCTTGAATAGCCCGGCGGATTCCTGCGCCCACCTCCTTCCAGGTCAACAATCATAATGTGTGGAGTCATATGCTTTGTCGTTTAGCTTTGACATGTGGATTTCGAAAGTTGTGGAGTGGGAGTCGTCTGGCAGTTGTCTCCTCATGGATGTGATGCTCTCGATAACTCTTGGATACTGTGCATATGTGGCTCGACGCGCTTGTTTGCAGATTCCACATTCTGAAGCTGAGCCTTCTCGTTTCCGTAGTCGGCCGCGCTATCAATATGACGGTAGCCAACCTCGGTGGATTTACAAGACATGTGCCGAGGACCAATATGAGCAGCTTTGAGTTCTCTCTTACTGTGCGCGTAGGTGGTCAACATGTCCATGACAGTCGCGCCGACCCCTTCAGGAAAGAACTCTAGCAGTGTAGCACATCCGTCGAAATCCATGGGCATATTCATCCAGCTGCCTTGATCGCATTGTATACGACCTCTTCTGTTACACCCTTCCTTGGCTGCGCTCGTGAACTGAGCCTCCGAGGTACAAAACCCTGGCAATTCAGGAAACTCGTGCAGGTACTTCAACTTGAGAAGGCTACTTACTTAGCCCAGCTGCTCAGCTTTCCAGCAGCCCAACCCCACCGCAGGCATCCCAATCCCAGCAGGGTCTGCCATTGCGCACGGGAGTCAGGGCTGTGTGCCAAGACTTGAGCACAAATGCCTGCCGTCTGCGACTGACTTGGATCAAACAGGCGATGACGTGAAGGCTATATGTTGGCTAATTAATCACCCCCCCCGGGGGGCTGGAATGACCATCAAGCAAAATAATCAGTTTAAAGTATTGTACCTCAAAAATGGCGTTTCCGAGAAACTTATAGTTAAGGGTATACGTAATTACAAATCTGCGCCGGCGGGATTATTAGTCATTAATGTGAAGTCAACATCAGTAAGAGCTAGGCACTGAGTCTGAGTAATTATCGCTTATCCGGGGCGGAGGCCGGAGGTGTTCAGCAAGCCGTTTTGCACCAGAACCTGTCGACTTCGACTTGCGGTTGCAGCTCCACAGCAAGTGATTCTGAGAAGCCCACACTCTCGAGTGGCTCCGAGGAGGCAATGTATGCGTCGCTATCCATCCATACAACGTACTCGCAGCTCCTGAATTCAACATGGCGGTACAGGCGCAAGGATGGAGCAGTCCCAAATCCGGAGTGGCGATAGGCTTGTCAAAACGACTGAGTGAATCTGTGTGCTTCTACAAGATTCTTCCGGTCTCCTGTCTTCAAGCTCTTGCTGCACGATGCGGACAATGGACCACTGCACGCGCCTGCAAGGTTTTGGGGCCCGGAAGCAGGCGGGACAAGACCGCTGACTCAACCGTTGAAACTGCATGGCAAATTTTCAAAAGTTACAACACGCACTTTACCAGCAGCAAATCCTAAGCTCTCAAACCTCTGCTAAGCTTGGAAGATGCTGCATGATGCAGCGTGTGCACTTGAAGACTTGTTATCCAATCCTATTACTGCTCTGTGCTGCGCCAGCCACATCATAAAGATTCATAAGGGGCATCTGCAGCCTCCGTGGCTCAAGTCCGTCGGACAGCAATTTGTCGAGCGCCTCGTTGCTGACCTCAGGCCTTCCAAAGGACTGGATTTGACAGACTTCTAGTTCGCGGTCACATCAGCTCAGCAGCTTCAAGTGATGTCGTTCAGGAACGCAGATAACAGCAACCTTATTTCCAAAGCGTAGATTCTGATCATAGATTCGGGTTGTTGGCCCGCAGTTCAACATGCGTTGCGTACTGATACAGCCTCGTCTTGTAAGGAACATTAAGGAACCATCTAAGAAGCACATGAAGCACTCTCAAGCAGCAACATTGCCTGCGAAATCGGTATCCATGCAGTCTGGCATAGAGCCTTCCGTGGTAGTTGCTGTCAACAGCCCTGCAACATCCCTCAACTGTTGTTCTGATAACCTACCAAGAAACAGGGCCTGCCTATCCTCCTCAGACCTATCACCTACATAGACCTAGCCGCAGAAGCAGAGGGTCCACCTGTTCAAGTGGTGGGTGAGGCTCCAGAAGTGTGTGAGGCAGCGCGAGTCCTCCCAGCAAGGCACCGCATTCGTAGTACCATGGTCTAGTAAGGGAATAATGACGGCACAAGCCCGACAAATCTCCCAACAAACTTTGCCGAGAGCCTAGATCTAGACAGCTACGCGACCGACTCAACTTGCCCAGGCTGCCTGGCTGATTGTAGAATTTGAGTCAGCCCATGGCAAGAACCTCCAGTCACCACCTTCTCGACTGACATGCAGCCTGTCCTGGGCAACGAGTCTGGACAGGTTGGTCTCCAAAGGCCTCCATGCACATCAACGGAGAAGGGTGCTGATATGTGCCAACACTCCGCTGCCAGTTGGCAAGCTGGTCTCCGGTCTTTGTTGCCTGACAAAAATTAAGTGCACCACCTACGGGACATCTTCCACAATTGCTCTGGAAGGCTTTGCTGTGAGCATTTTACCGCTTTACTAGTTCTACATTCTACTTGCTTTGTCTTAGCCATTCCACAGGCTGGGGTAATTGGATCGTACAAGTGCGTTCCTTAGGGAGGCATCACTTCGACTGATGGATCCGTTTGCGAAGAAACTGGGGCATAGCAATCTTGAGCCTTCAATGGTTTCTGAGCTAGCTCAGGTTGACGCTATCAAGTGCATGGGACCCCCCCCGCCCCCCCATATATCGAGTGCAAGGCAGGACCACGGGCTGATCTAGATGATGCATCTGGAACTATCTGCAACTCCGGCACGATAGCTGTGTCGTCTACAAGTGCTGAGGCCAAAGGATGAAGACCCTCCCCTCACTCCCTGGCATACGGAGCTTGCAAAAGGTTCCTGGCAGGTTTTGATGCTGCTATGTTTTCTTCTTCATTGTTTTGTCTGCTGTGAGTTTGGAGCAGTCTTCTAGTGATGGTGCAGATTTTCTAGATTTGGCTTCTGTCGAACAAAGATAAGTGGCCAGCCACCTTGGGGGACACGAAGCTCTGCATTATTCTGGGACATCATAAATTAAGCGGATTCAAGTTTGCAATCAAGCCCTCTGATAGTGCCAAAAATCTGAACAACACTTCACAAGCTCACAAACATGAGCAAACTAAAAGCGCGTTTTCGCAAGCCATGACCAGCAAAGGTATGTGCGTGGCGCGAAGGTCTTTGCAAATGCGGCCATGTCTTCTGATGCTGGAGAGAACTGGTATGGACGTCTGCCACTCCTGACCTTGTACTGAGGTGGGATCCAAATGATGAGAAGTCCTGTGGACTGCAGAGGCCGCTCCAACAGCAGAAGGTGAAATCTTTGAAATCAGCAGCAACCTGACTCACGAGCTTCCAGCTGATCTCACTGGATCACGCGCTGTCATCCCCCAGCAGGCAAATCCCACAACCTTTAGATAATAGATGCACTGTTCACCTACAAGTCTGCAGTCCAAACGTCGAGAGCCCAGAGTAGATCTGTCTATGCCTTGCAGAGATGCAGTCTTCAGCTACTGCCCTGCAACGTTGCCTAAATTGAGCATTGTTTGAGGCTGGAGGGTGATAGCGAGGAAGCGACCTGCAGGAGCTTGCCCAACGGATTGGTGCAAAGAAACGCTGGGGAAGTATGAACTGCTAGGCCTACCTGTCAGAGATGGGCTCGCATCTGCCAGCAATTAGCTAGGCTGGAAGGATGACTTGGTCTATTTGGTGTCTATTTGCTCCTGGCGTCATCAACACCTGCACCAATCTGATTGCTCGGGCACTTGGTGACGTTTTGGCAGTTGCCATAAAACAAAACAATTGAGCCATCCACACGCCCAAGCATTGCAGGAAACTCAAGGACAAACAGTTGCCGTATACAGCTGATGGAGAACATCGACTACAACCTGGAGCCCCAGACTACCTCCCACAGATGCACTGCACATGGCGTTGACAAGTTTATTTTAAGCCAATGTGCGCGCATAATTCCTGCCTATTGCCCTAGGCTGGACAGCCACCATGAATCATGGCAATCCAAATCTGCGTCGAATGCGCTCAGCTCTCAGCGAGCGTCCACACGCAGCATCCAGATACCACATGGTCCACGGTCTGTGCGGATGGGTGCTGGGTCAGACGGGCAACAGCAGCAGGAACTGCCCGTGTGAGCCCAGCAGACAAGGGCTTAGATGGGCAGCATTGACCACTGCAACGGACAAAGCCGGGCAACGGATGGCGCCATGCAAGGAAAGTGCTCACCCATCTAAGAACTGTGCCGCGCAGATCTCGGAGCCCCCTGGCTTCACGTTCACCACTTTGAGGATAAGCGCATGACAAAGGTTGAGGCTTCAATTGCAACAAAACTCTTGCAAAGGTTGTTGTCCTATGCATGTGACTACAGTCGGGCGCCTTTTAAAGCAAACAAATAATATGGAATAGGTTTCGCGTCTCCTAGCTCTGTGACAAGCCGTAGGTTGTCATGCTCCTCTTTCGCGACGACGCAAGCGGGAGAAGGCTTTCCGGAAACTAGTGGCGCTGAAAATCATTGGGAACGCGCCGATGCGCACCTTAGTCACCTTAACCGCCAGTCGCATTATCATGGTATTGACAACTGCACCCGCTGAAGCAAGCCAGACGCGTAAGCAGCTAACCAAGTCAAACTTGAGTCTACTTTCTCAAGCAGATTTCAAGTGATCGTTCTTGTAAGTACAGCGCAGAGATTCTTCGAAAGGCAACTGCTGACTTATCAGGCAAAGCAACGATACACATCCACATCCCGCAAAGAAGCACTTACATGCCCTTGATCTCAAAGTCGAGCTTCTTGCATGACTTTCCCGAACAGCTGTAGCAACCATTGTTGCGGAATCTAGCATTGCTCACCCTCTACCATGCCTGATGTGACCAGCAAAAAGGCCCTGCATATGCTCTAGAGCACAAAAAGACTGGCCGATTTGCTGTTGACTCGCACTGTCTGCACAATAAATGCAACCATACTCGGCCACTGACCAATAATGGAGGTGCTGTCATGGGCATGTTCCTGTCGTCAATCGCGTGCTTGCACGGGGTTGTCAGGCTGCCAGGCACCCTGACCATGCAATCTTTGCGCGCGCGCCGAACATGAATGGCCTCAGACCTTGCAAACGGTCTTTTAGCCCGTCAGTCTTGGCAAGTATGAAATGGGGAGAATACAAGGTCAATTTGCATGGTGCTCCTAAGTGACTCCGTCTGACCCAGTGAAGCTTCAACCAATTCCTGGCCATGCATTGGCGCTCTCACGATGCTGTCAAGAGGGCTCCTGTGCATCCGTACGCGCTGTGGCGGCTTGTTACTCAATAGCTACCGTGTCGTGGCAAGGCTTCAAAAAAGTTGTTGCTTGGGTATGGGGACCGTAAATCGGCAAACACATTACGTCCAGGCATGCAACCATACGCCAGCTTAAAGAGACTGAGACGTTGCGTATTCAGGTGCGTAGCCTTCTCCTCTCAGTTTCTGCTCAGCATGCCGTTGACTTGCGTACGTTGGGCCAAACGTCTACCACCCTGAGCCGACTGAACTAAGGAACTGGGGAAGAGTATTTTGTCACAGCAAGTATGCGCAATGAGTACTCCTGTTTGACAGACGAAGCGCAAAGAACCTCGGCAGCCATCTCCTTTGCGCTTGCTGTCTACGATCAAGGTGTAATGATAACGCAATTTGTTCCTGATGGGGGTCGTGGCACGAAGCTTGTCAGTTTCAGGCCGTTCGCTAGAGCTCGTCACTAAGCTTGGATCATCGCAGGCGGGCTAGGAATTCAAAGCTCCCCAGTTCAGGAGCAATCTACCTGCATCAGTGCCTCAGGGTGCGTGAAAAGGTACTCAAGTCTATGGGGAATGTGCGCCTCGTGTCATCGTGTGGCTCAGCATCAAGTTTTTTTACAGTATTTACCTACTCTTGCGTTCAAATGTGGGAAGCAAACGTTACACGGCGGCGGCTGCCTGGGGTTCATGCAAGTGTCAAGGCCGACATCTGCAATGTCCTGGGCTCATAATCCTGTTGTCAGCCATCTGTTCCCATGGTTTGGAAAAACAATCTGAGAGAACGGAATGTTGCTAGTGCTGCCCGCCATGCTTGTGAATACTACGTGGTCACTTGCATGGCAAACGTTAAGTCACAGTCCGAGAAAGCATGACATGCCACAGATGAGAGGTAACCTGAGGGAACGGACCAGGCTGCAGGAAAGGCCAGGTCACTCGGCCATGGACACGGGCAGAGCATGCCGAAGCATGGTGAAGCCCATGGAAGAAAGTCTCATGGTTGGTTGAGCTGCCATAGTCGGCCTGACGAATTCACTTGACTTCTGCACTGGTCGGTCTGTACGCTGTCCGCATCACGACGCCCTCCTCGCCCTGTCGCCATAAGCCCCTTGCTTTCAGGATCTGCAACCTCCAACTTCCTTGCTTGCAACATCCCCGTGGCAGAGCTCAGGTTGGCAGTGTGTTTGGATGACTTGTCCTGCTCCACTTTTGTACGCATTCCATGCAGCGTAGGTAGATTCTTGGAATGTAGATGGCAGAATAGATGACCTTTTTCCCATGCTGCGAAGGGCAAGGAGGGCTAGCGCCTAGCCCGGCTGTCCCGTCCTCCGCGCCGACTCTCTGCTCGCAGGCTGTTTCAGCAGAAACTCAGCGGTTACCTACAGAGGTTAGAAAGAATCATCAAAGTCGAGGCTCACGAATGTCAGCTTTCTCTGGCACGCGATTACCGCGCATAACCATACGGGAAGTGATTGGTTCATGTGTGTTCCTTTGCAACCGACATTCTTCCCAGGAAGCTCGGCAAGATGGTGAGTGCGTTGTAATCTTCGTCTTGTCGAGGCTCAGGGCTGCGCATCACAAAAGGGTCAAGAAGAGAAGCTAAGTTGAACAATTAAAGGACGCGACTTTGGGTTCGGAAGCCTCTTTAAAATCACTCGATTATCGACTCTGTGCATCTCTGCAGCAATGGCCGTAGCCGTGACTGCTGAACAATGTGAGAGCGAACCATACCTCGGGTGCCCTGGCCACAAGCAAATACTAGCGAACTACGACTCCGCCCTTAATGTTTCCCAATTAGAAAATAATTGGCCCACAAACTGGCTGGACCCAAAAGCCAATTGACATTCCGCTTCTTGGCAGGGGCTTGAACCAATTCATGCCCAACTTTAAACAGGTCTCACGGATCCTCAGGGCTTCGGAAGTTGGAAGATGAGGCACCTTCAAGGGTCAGCAGGTGACTGAGAATTGGATATGACTCTGGCATGGGCCTCTGGGGTATGCATAGCAGCTTTTACAGGGGCCAGATACTTATACCAGACATCCCATGACTGCATCTTCTTAGGAGATTCGCGGATGATATCTTTTGCCCCGGCATGCAACTGGCATCATCTGTGGTTGGATTTTTGAGGCCATTTTGAATTCATACCTAGTACCTCACCGACACCCCTACCGATACCCCTTGATATAGAAAATGTGTGCTGGGTGGACCACTGACAATCGCTTCCTCGTGTGCTTACTTAACATATGACGCCCACATGACCTTGTATTCAACTTTGCACACCCAGCACAGCAAGCGGGATCAGGTGCAGAGCTCAAATTGATAGCGCAGTTCCGTGTTTTCGTGTTGCACATGATGCCATGCACTTGCCATGTGAACGCCTGCTAAATCACGGCCAAGCTTTCAATTGATTCTAACTTGATTTCAGGTGATTTGAGGGATTCCCCGCCTGGATTCTTTCGTAAACCATTAAGAACTACACGGTTGTTGTAACTAGACCTCAGAAGTTAACCCCAAAACCCCACTTTGAACACGATCTCTTTGAGAGCACTCGCTTAGGGCAAACACTGACATAAAACCGAGACGACTTGAACATAATGGAGTATGTAGGCTCAAGCAAGCTTTATCGCTTCATGTCTAAAAAAAGCACAGCTGCTCTCTTTATTTGAACCTCGTTCTGCTGCACTTTCGCGGCTGCTACTGCAACGCTGCCCAGGACATGCCGGCGCCGTGAGGTACCGCAACTAGCAACCCTTAATCCTTCAAAGAAACTGGCTGCCTCTCTCCATTCCCGGCGTTCGTCGAGATGGTCTGACACGAAATGCAACAAGTTTCAGAATCAGCAAGGGGTATTCGGGAGTGAAGCTTCGACTCCCAAACCTCTTTTTCGTGTTGTTTCGTAGTAGGCATCTATGAGTCTCCCCTACAGCTTCAACGCGCGTCTTGAGCTTCTGGTTCAAGAAGTGTCTTTTGGGTTCAGCACGGATGAGAGCTTAGGATTTGGGAAAAGGATAGATTTCAGGAGGCCATGATCTTCATGTTAGCCTGGAACCCTGGACCTGCTGTCCCGCTCTGTACACTCATGAATGCCTGGCCGGGCGCCAGCTTCGCGGCACCAGCAAAGGAAGCAGCCACACCGGAGATCGGAACCTCCACGACTTCACAAGCACAGGACACGCTCAAAATTCCGGCCCTTCTGTTTTGAGCAGGTCAACAGCAAGGTTTCAGGACTGAGGAATTGTCTGCGGCCCCCATACTGATACAAGCGAGGAATCCTCAACCCTAGTCCTGAAAAGCTTGCCCATGGTTGTTTTCATTAAGCTAGACCACAACCCTAAAATGATGAGACCCTCAACCATCCTCAACCTGTGCCCACTGTAGGCCTTCACCTCACAACTCTGACATTAGAACTGATGCGAGAACACCGGTCGCAAGGAGCCTGGTAGCCTCCCGTCTTCCTCAGTAGCAGCAGCTGCTGCTGTCACTACTTGAGTATTTGCAAAGCATGATTTCAGTTTTGTCTACCTCATTTCTAGGCATCTTGATGCCTGTGGCTGTGGCTGGCAAGGGCCTATGCAGGGCCATCTTCTGGCTCTTGGGATTTATGGTTGTGGGGGACTTCACGGCCTCCGATTCAAATTAGTCCATTAGCTAACTTCATAAACTGAAGAGCGAGAGTTTGAGGTCCAGGTAGGCCAAGGCTCCCCCAACTTCCATCGAGCTCCATCTCGGTGGCGGGAGGCGGGAGCAAGAAGTCATCTGGCAGACCTCGCATTTTTCCCCGGTGAGGCATCTACTTGAATCCTTGGGGCCCTAAAAATGAGCTCGGGACCAAATTGCAGAAGCTCAGCTGAGTCGCCTCAAGCAAGAAACAAGCGATGCAGCCTGGATCCTCTCATACCGTGGACCATGACACCATGAGAGACAGCATGCAAATGCCCAGTCCGGCTGATGCTTCTTGTCTGCTCTCCTAAGCCCTCGACAACGCGGTTTGATCACCGGGGTCGCAGGAACTTGCCTCAAGCATGCAAACCCTGCTTGCTCGTGCCACTTCACGCAGCGTTGTGGCGGCAAATTTTCTATGAATGTTCTGAACCTGTGTGATTTCCATTTAGCAAGAAGCCTCAGGATAGATGGAACATGAGTGGTTTGACGTCGGCTGTGGTTCCAGATCCGAAGCAGGCATGGTCAGGCAGCTGATGCTGATGGAGTGCCAAACATGACCCAATGCTTAACTTGGAGCGCCAGCTCCTCGTCACTGCTGTTACAGTGGAAGAAGTCTGCACGGCACCTCTCTCTAAGCCGTGACATTGCTTAGATTCGAAGGATCTGAGAAAGGGATCTGGACAGAAAAATGCTCCGGCTTACATGGCATTTCGGCCTTTTTCATAAAGTTGCCGACCGGCTTTCCCAAAGGTTAATAATCCGCAGCTTGGATGCTGGGGTGCATGGCTTAGTTTGCGAGCTGCCTTTTCAGCTTTTCAATGGTTGTCAGTTAGCATGTGCGACAAAGCATTGTGGGACCTGCATGACCTGCCAAAAGAAAACCTTGTGACAAAAACCCGGAGAAACGCTATATTGGAGTCGTGCCGCACACTTGGCCTGATTCTTAGCTAGTCTCAGGTTAGCCATATAGCTGCGCATTTGACAATTTTGCCAAGCAGCAGTGCCATGGTCTTTGAGTCCTGAGTGTGATGGGCATGCAGCACATGCCGTCATGGAAACCGGCAAGCCACGCATTTGCCTTTGCAAGGACATCCTGATCTGGAAACGGATATTACAGCTGCTCATTGCTGAAGCTAAGGCGGCTGCGTCTAGGCGTTTCCCAGGTGGGCGTGTCGGACACTGGCACAGCGGACTTTCGAAAAGCTTGAGCCACACAGCAGGTGGGAGGCAACTGACATAAATGCACGAACATAATGCCGCTTCGAGCGATGCCACACTGGAGAGGATCACTGCGAACTACCAGAAACAGGAGTAAACAGCACACCCATCGCCTGTCATCCCCTGGATCTGTCGAAACCATGCATATGCGGTGCGACCTGAATTCAGTTGCGCAAAGCTGTCCGTTCATCAATGGCCCTCTTGGGAGTGGCATATAAAAGGCCAAGCCGTTCAAGATTACAGCATATTACATTTTAGACTTTGCCGTGTACAGGCAAAGCGGCAAAACGGAACATCCCAAAACTCGCTGTGCAGAGCTGCATAGGCTGGGGCTCTGGCAGGCGTGGCACCTGTGCAGGACCAAGCTGCTCGCACTGGCAAGTCTCGTGGTTCGGGCCTCAAGGCTTGCACTGGCAGACAGGCTCCATGGGGCTGTGTGGTTGTGGGACCGCTCCAATCCCAAAACCTTTGCACCGACTTGCTCTTTGTGCAGGTAAACACCTCAGACCATTGCAGTTGCATCAGTTGCCTTCTCACGCGCTGCGGGTCATGTTGTCAGGGAATGCAAGGCTTCTCCCCGATAGCACCCGCGTGCCCCAATATTTTGAAGTTCAATGAAGCAATAGTGAGCAGCAGACATGATTTGTCAGCCGCTGAAACTTTGACACTATATCTCTGGAGGGTAGTGATGGAAATTCATGGGGCAGCTGTAAGAGAAGACGCAGGCAGAACCTGTTTTGATTACTTGAACGTGTTGACGGATCCAACTTTGCAAGCCTACTGTACCCTGATAACAGGCAGAGTGCAATTGGGCTGTGCAACAACTGCCCGCTGGATGAATATCCGCACCCTACAAAAAGAAACCTGGCCTACTCCTAACCGCTGCTTTCATGGCATAGCTTCGGCAGGCCTGTCACTGGGATTCGGGCTCCCACCGTTCGGGCAGAACCTCAAGCCAACTTCGGACAGCTGGATAAACGGCACGCCATATACCACCCCGCATACCCCGCACACACACTCCTTGGAGAATTTGTTGCCATGACAAGAAGTGGGTAGTACTATCCTGAAGCTGGACCTCAACCAAAGCCATCACGCTTCACCTCTACATCCGCTCAGCCATGAAGATCCTGAACTCCGAGCGATTCCATAAGCTCCCCTTGCCCAACTGCTGTCAGGTCACGACAGGGTGCATGGCTTCCCATGTCCAAAGGGAGACGCAGCCTCTGAAAATGCTGCCCAGCTCAAGTGCAGACGAAAAAGCTCATGTGTGCGTGTGTGTGTGTGTGT